ATTAATGCCACGCATAAGCCATATGTCGAGAATAATGACCTACTTCCATGATGCCATCTGAAGAACATGCATCTCTGGCAGGGCCATCGAGCCAATAAATGATAATAGCATTAACTCTGGCCGGTTGGTATCAAAGGCTTCTTGCTAAATGGCTTTTGTCGTATACTTAATCAAGGGCCTTCGCATCAGTTTACGACCCGGAAAATGTCATACTCATATACGAAAATGAATCCATAGTAAGATATAAAATACTGTATAGTGTATATATGTTTACCATGTATTAATAACACTGTTTAACGTATTAGTGTATTAACCAATGTTATTTGCTTTCAAATCTTACTATGTATTATTTAATTTTTCAAATATACTACTATATTTCAAGATGATTACATACTACACAATTACTATATCTAAGTAGCTCATAAAAAAAAAACCTGAATTTCAATCAAAAATATATATTTCACGTTGTTGAAATTAATTGTTAATAATGCATTACGAATTTGAGAGTAAATTATAGATTGTGGTCGAAGTAAAGCCACTACATGTATTTTTTAGAATTATATAGAATTTTAGAATATATATATATATACACTGAAGTGACAAAAGTCATGGGATACCTCTTAATATCGTGTCGGCCCTCCTTTCGCCCGGCGAAGTCCAGCAACTCGACGTGGCATGGACTCAACAAGTCGTTGGAAGTCTTCTGCAGGAATATTGAGCCATGCTGTCTCGATAGACGTCCATAAATGCTCGATGGGATTCATGTCGGGCGATCTAGGTGGCCAGATCATTCGTTGGAATTGTCCAGAATGTTCTACAAACCAATCGCGAACAGTTGTGGCCTGGTGACATGGCGCATTGTCATCCATAAAAATCCCATCGTTGTTTGGGTACTTGAAGTCCATGAATGGCTGCAAGTGATCTCCAAGTAGCTGAACATAAGCATTTCCAGTCAATGTTCGGTCCAGTCGCACCAGAGGACCAAGTCCATGCCATGAAAAAACAGCCCACACCATTACGGAGCCACCACCAGCTTGAACAGTGCCTTGCTGACAGTTTGGGTCCATGGCTTCGTGAGGTCTTCGCCACACTCGAACCCTACCATCAGCTCTTACCAACTGAAATCGTGACTCATCGGACCAGGCCACGGTTTTCCATTCATCTAGGGACCAACCGATATGCTCACGTGCCCACGAGAGTCGCTGCAAGCGATGTCGTTCTGTCAGTAAAGGCACTCGAGTCGGTCTTCTGCTGGAATAGCCCAAGAAAGCCAAATTTCTCCGCACAGCTCTAACAGACAAGTCCCTTGTACGTCCCACATTGATTTCTGCGGTTATTTGACGCAGTGTTGCTTGTCTGTTAGAATTTACGACTCTTTGCAGACGTCGCCGGTCTCGGTCGTTAAATGCAGGCTGTCGACCACTGCGCTGTCCATTGTGGGATGTTACGTCTGAAATTTCATACTCTAGGCACACTCTTGACACAGTGGATCTGGGAATGTTGAATTCCCTAACGATTTCCGAAATGTCATGACCCATGCGTCTAGCTCCAACTAACATTCCGCGTTCAAAGTCTGTTAATTCCCGTCCTGCGGTCATCATCACGTCAAAACCTCTTCACATGAATAACTTGAACAGAAATGAAAGCTCTGCGAAAGCACTGCGCATTTATACCTGTTCTACACGATGCTACTGCCATCTGAAAATTTGTATATTGCTATCCCATGACTTTTGTCACTTCAGTGTATATCACAACAAACCAAAGCTCTTATAAACAGTTATGTAAGCTACTATACTAGCAGCTCGTTGTGTCAGGATGGGATACTCTCTTTTTAATAATACTAATCTTTTTATTTACACTATGAATACATACATACACTTGGCACCCTGTGCCACTTCTACAATACTATTTATATCTAAAAGCCAAGAGCCGGTCCCTGACCGTCTGTTTTGATCTGACTCTCCTAGCGTTCACCTCGTGGTCTCAAGATCTCACCGCAACTGCCACTTACCACACTGGACCACAGTTAAGGACCCAGTTACTGGTCACAGTTACCAGTTATAACCGCGACCTCTCGCGGTTATAATTAAACCTTACAGTTATAATATTGTTTTATTCATCTAATTTTAATTAATTTAATTTTTCGGACATATACATAAGTTATTACTGTTATAATTCAGGATGATTACATATTACTCAATTATCTAAGAAAAACTGAATTTTAAGCAAAAAGATATATTTGATGTTGTTGAAATTAATTGTTAATAATGAATTACTCAGCTTGAGATATAGTGAAACAGTTGTGAATTGTGGTTGAAGTAAAGCAATTATATATACTTTTTAGATTGAATTGAAAATAAATATTACTTTTAATCCTCTTTCTTCAACAATTTAAAAATAACACTCTCCTTTACATCAAGTTGTAATATGTAACATGAGCAAACTCCCGGCAAAAAGTTATCCTCATAAACATTTAAAAGGACGCAAAGCAGGTGGGGAAAAAAACCCAGCATCATAATGAGTTATAAAGATTCGGCGAACATGATACCGGTGGCAATCTTTTTGCAGCTTTTCTTCCTAAAAGACATGTAATCTGTTGTCCTACATCGAAGTCATTAAAAAAAGTTAACACCCGAAACGATAATTACATTAGCGTCAAACTTTATGAAATTTTCTTCTTAATAAATACTAATGGTCTTATCTTCACCATTTGGGCTCTACTTATGTGGGGAAAAAAAGAAAAGAAATTGTACACTTTTCTTTCTCATGTTCTTTTATGTAAATTTTTTTGCATGTGTGTGTTTTCTTTCCTTGTATTCATTATTATTCCTTGGATTTTTTTTTTTTTTTTTTTTTCACCATTAAGGTATTTTGTAACATTTTCTTTTAATTGATATTGTATAATAGAATGGGATAATGTAGTTTTTATTTTATTTTCTATGTGTATCACTATTTTTTTTTATGGAAACATGATGTTGATAAAGTGTGGATTGAAAGTTTTTATATCCATTCTCAAATAAATTTTTTTTCCATGGAATAGAATAGTATTCATAGAATTTTTTTTTTAGAATACTTTTCTTGAGTTTTTTTCTAGAAAAATAATATTTTTGTTTTTGAGTGAATAAAGAAAAAAAATTTCTTTATTAAGATAGGTGATTTTTCTTTTTGTATTTTTCCAAATTATAATTAACATTTATAACTGCTTCTCTAATAACTACATATTCCGCTTAAAAATAAAATATTTAGTACATAAATACTAGTATTTTGTTTCTAATTAGGATAATTAAGAGGTGATTTTTTCTACCAACTGTATGCGTGTTACAATTATAATCATATTTTTGGTATGCAATCTTTTCAAAATTGGTTTCTGTTTGTGAGAAAAAAAATTTTGTATTGAAGTTTATTTAAAGATTAAATTATGTGTATTTAAAAGTAAGCTTTTTAGTTCCGACGGTGCCATAGATGTTTGTAGTGACTCAGAACCTACTTTAAACCGTAGGTCCCGGCTTAATATGACTACTACTACACCACATCATTGTGCCTATAGCTGAGTTGCACCTTACAGTTTGAGAATGATGTGGATGAGAAATCTTATTGAACTCTGTGATGCTCTACAATCATGAGACCGCGGCCTACAGCTTAAAGTGGATTCTGAACCACTACAAACCTCCATGTCACCGCCGCTACTCGAATCAGAAATTTGTGGCACCGAGCGCCAGAGCGTTAGACACTCGGCCATTCAGGCCCCTGTCTAATGTGACTACTACTACTACACCATATCACATCACTGTGCCTAGAGGTGAGTTGCCCCTTTACAGTTTGGGAATGGGTGAGAGAGAAGTCTAACCGGGCTCAGTGGCTTTCTTACAGTCACATGAGACCGGAACCTACGGCCTAAAATTGATTCCGAACCACTACATGGCACTGCCAGAACTCGAACACGAAACCCTTGGCACCAAGCGCAAAAACCTTTGGTCATAGGGCTGATAACCCTACCCCGTAAAAAGAAAAATCATCTACTCGAAATCTGCCAAACAGGCAGGCCTTGGCCCAACATGGGCTGTTGCACCAATGAAGAAGAACAAAATAATTTATAACAGTCGAATTATTTATAATCATCTTTAGTATGGCATTATATAATAATTTGAATGATCCAATTCAATGATAAGATTTCTTCAAATGTTTTCCATTTTAACACATCGATTAATTAGTCGATTGATTAACAAATAATCTACTTTTTAAAATTCTCTTTACACTAAATAAATTAATAGAGCTCCTTCATTTCTAGTTGTCTTTATTACTTCATCTGCCACCTTTTTTTTAGACAATTCTGTGGCAAACGTCTCGAATATATCTTCCATTTGATAAATGAATATAAAATAAATTTCTCCAAGTAAGAATTCAAAGATTTTTTTTTCCCCCTTCAGAATCACGAATTCATTCATTGTCGCAGTTGAATATGTTTTAAAATTTTTCAGAAAAAAGGATTCTTTATTTGATTCAATCTCAGACGCAGGCCGCAAAAATTCATTTCCGGGGCTGTTGAAAGACAGTTTAATTGCCAGGCTGGCACGACTGTGACATCTCCAGTCACAATCTTTCCGTTTTAATTCCTTTGTGACTGCCACATGGGCCATCAATTAATCAATGATTATCCATCAATTAATCAACTGTAAAAAAAATCAAATTCAATTAATTAGAACTACTTTATATACTGTTGTTGTTTGTTGTTGTTTCTTATCCCACTTGGCTGGCTAAGCCCACGAGCCCATACGTACTCATGGTTGAAGGGGAAGGAAGCAGCTTCTGTTGTGATGGAGCACCCGTAGGTAGAAGCCTGACTTTTGCTCCGTGACGCTCTTACAGTCATAGGAGACCGGGACCTACGGCTTAAAGTGGATTCCGAACCACTACAAACATCCATGGCACCGCCGGGATTCGAACCCGAAACCTGTGGCACCGAGCGCTAGACACTCGGCCATTCAGGTCCCAAATTTGCCAACGGCACGCGGTGTTCCCAGGTATCCACCCAAGTACTGACCGCGCCCAATGATGCTTGACTTCGGTGATCTAACGAGAACCGGTATATTCAGCATGGTACGGCCGTCGGCTTATGGTTTATATACTACTTACTGTATATAAGACCTGATGGCCGAGTGACTGCCCCTCGGTACCACTTGAGTCCCGGCGGTGCCATGGATGTTTGTAGTGGTTCGGAATCCACTTTAAACTATAGGTCCCGGTCTGTGTAGCCTAAAGTGTGCACAAGATGACTGTAGAGCGACAAACTGACTGTAGACTGCACAAGATGACTGTAGAGAACCAAACCAATATTTCATGAAGGGAGAAAGAGTTTAAAACATTTTTTTTCCCTCTCAAGTTTATTGAATCATTCATTATAGCATAAAAAACTGTGGCATTATATAATAATTGGAACGATAAAATTCAATGATTAGATTTTTTCCAATGATTTCCATTTTAACATATCGTTTCAAAGATGAAATTCACCAATTAATCAACTTTTAAAATTTTCTTTACACTCAATAAATTAATAGAACTACGTCATTTCTAACTGTCTTTCTGTCCATCTATCGCCTTTTTTTTTTTAGACAATTCTATGCCAAACGTCTCGAATATATCTTCCATTTGATAAATGAATATAAAATAAATTTCTCCAAGTAAGAATTCAAAGATTTTTTTCCCCCTTCAGAATCACGAATTCATTCATTGTCGCAGTTGAATATGTTTTGGCTGTTGAAAGACAGTTTAATTGCCAGGCTGGCACGACTGTGACATCTGCAGTCACAATCTTTCCGTTTTAATTCCTTTGTGACTGTCACAGGGGCCCGCTCAATGTCAGGGGGACTTGTTTAATTAATTTTGGGATGTCGGATTTGAACTTTTTTTTATTATTATTTTCCCAGATTTCTTGTCTTTTGTAAAATTTCGGGAGTATTAATTGGGAGTTAAATGTAACCCGCTTATTAAAATGTGTTTCGTGTGAAGTAATCAGTTGTGTAGGATTAATTTGATGTCTTTTGATTGTGTTTTTTGGTGGTGGTGATAAATGATGAGCTTTTTGAAATCTGCGTGATTTATTGGATTGAATTTTATTTTTATTTATGGGAATTAATAAGTGTGACAATTTTTAATATCTGTTTGAGATTATTTTCTGAAGTTTAATAAGTTATCTGACTGTATTTCAGAACTTTTATGCATAAAATCTTTTTTTTTTTTTTTTTTTTTATCTTTATTTTAAAGATTAAAAGACATCTATATATGGCTTTAAAAAAAAACCATCTATATATGACATTAAAAAAGAATATAAATAAAGTAACAATACTAAATAAATATAACAATACAAATAAAGTACAGATAAAAATACTTAAATGCAACAGTTTTTATTTGTAATGCTGTTTACCTCAGTCGTGTGGAGATTTTGTAGAAAATTCAACATTACCAGGGCAAAACACGGAAATCTTACAAGTATTTTAATCGCAAATAAAACAATTTGATATTTGTCTTTGGGGATCTTTATGCAGAAGTGATTCTCATCCGTGCTATAGGCAAAAAGCCTCAAAAATTCTCATGTGCATAGCGTATAATGTTAAAGATATTTTCTCTGACTCTGCAGATATTGCCAATCAAAAAACATAGTGCAAATTTGGCTCAGAATTTACAACTATATGTAAAAATGCTCAATGCAACATTCAACAATTTTTATTGGCACTAATTAGATAAAAGCAATAGTCAAACACATGACTATTGAATATGATTGTACGTGACTGCCCCTTTTCCTTTTTCATGTTCCATTATGTGCCATGAGCAACTTTCCCTGGTAGTCATGGTGGGAAAGCATTGCCATCATGGAGGACTTTTTTTATAGATAATTGCCCGCATTCACTTATTCCCGCATGGAGAAAATTCACAACAAGCTATACGAGACGCCTATAAACATTGTCACACTCGCCATTGAGTCTCCGAATTTTTGATAGCAGTGGCTGATATGGACTTCACCATATCAGCAATTTACTTCAAACTTAAACTCTTTTGAACATCATCAATGGCCAATGAATTGGGCTTTGAATATCAATCAACTGCCAAGGTATATGATTATGAACTGATCATCAAATTCAAGCTTGGTAGAATTAAAAACTGTCTTTTAAAAATATGAATTCAGTTGATTTCTGGAAGTAAATAAGGTGAACTCTTGTTGACTGCAAAATTCCTAGCAAGCAATGCGATACATTTGTATACATTGTCACAATTGTTGCGTCTCCTATTAAAATTGCCATTATGTCTATGTCCTCCATTACTATGGGTTCACGACTTGGCATTTGAAAAGCCATCAATGGTTAAGACGGCCAAGTGGTATGATGGCCAATTAGTAAAAATAAAACTGTCAATTAAAACTGAATTGACCCTCGATTGAACTTGTGTAACTGAATCCGTTAACTTTCTCTTCAAAAAGCCATAAGCGCAACCATCACTGACTTAAACTGGTGAAAATGATTAGTATTGAGTAAAATTCAGCATTATCTATTAATTTCAGTTAAATAAAAATTAAATAATTCTTTGATTTTGACACTGTTGACTGCAGAATTGTTTGGAATTTTAAACTTTTTTTATTGGGATCTATTGCAAAATTTACAACAAGCGATGTGAGACGCTTATATGCATTGTCACAATTGCCGTTACGTCTCTTATTGCTAATTGACATTACGTTTTCTGTCCTCCATTACCATTTGCCCACGACTTGATGTCTGACAAGCCATCAACTGCTAGACGAAGACTAACGGTGCCATTAGCCACAGATCATCAAAGTCATGTTTGGTAGTATTAAAAACTGTCGTTTAAAAATACGAATTCTGTTGATTTAATGAAGTCGATTAAGTAAACTCTTGTTGACTGCAAAGTTGTCTGTAATTGTGATCTCTATTTATTGGGATTAATTTTCAACAAACGATGCGAGACGCTTATATACATTGTCACAATTTGCTGTTACGTCTCCTATTACAATTGCCATTACGTCTCTTATTGCTGATTGTCATTACGTCTCTGCCTTCCATTACCATTGGCTCAAGGCTTGGGGTTTGAAAAGCCATCAATGGCTAGGCGAAAGCCAATGGCCAAACCGTATGATGGCCAACTGTTGGAATTAAAGTTGCCAATTAAAATTGAATTGAATTGAACTTGCGTAACTGTATCCATAACTTTTCCTTCCAAAAGCCATAAGCAACCATCATTGACTTAAACTGGTGAACATGATTAGTGTTGAGTAGAATTCAACATTATCTATTAATTTCAGTTAAACGAAAATTAAATAATCCTTTGATTTTCATAGATGAAAGGAAAAGAAAACACGATTTTCCCAAAGATTAGTGCTCACGACTTGCAGCAATCCTTTATGTTTTATCCGCGAGAGAGGAGCTTTAATTACAAGCCTAATTCCGAAGATTTTGTCACACCAATCTTCGATTAACGTCACCTGTCTTCTCATTAAATGAGGTGCTGCGTCTGATTAGAGCCCAAATCGCCCATTATTCCTGACAACCTGAAATAATCACCCATGAGTGGAGTTGCCAACTTTTAACGATCGACAATGGGCAGAATAATGGGCCCTTCAACGTGGCTTTCCTTTGCATCGATTGTTCAAGACGTTAACTATACATCAAAAGTAATTTGGACGCTTTAAATACTCTATGGTTTGAATGTTCTGAAACAAGACTAGTATTTGCGTAATTCTTTTTTTTTTTTATATCCATGACGCTAATTCGTAAAATCCAGAATTTTGTTAAGAGGCATTGTATACAGTTACGCTAACTAACTCTTCACGTTTTCTAATTCGGCGTGTTTATTTAAATAAATGCATTCCATAATGAGGAATAAGATTTACAATTTAGATTGAATGGCACTTGTAATTTTATACAAAAGGACTGCTGTTAATCTCGTTAAAGGTTTTATAGGAAATGAAGAATTACCTTCTAAAACTAAATTCATTCCATTTTTTTAAATAAACTTTATTTTTATAACTTTATACTGCATCCTGTGATGTGGGCTTATACTTATATGAAATTGAATTCATTCATTTAAGCATACACGTATGTAAACTTATACAATAATAACTTTTATAATTTGAAAGAATAATTATACGTAGGAATAGCTTAGGGAACTTCCATGGGGAAAAAAATAAATGTTTAACAATAAATTTAACCCCTCAGAAATTAACTATCGATAATTTCACATTCAATATAATTAATTAAAAATAATAATTAGGAGAAAATGTTTGCGATGTTCAGCATCTTGCCTCGGGAGTCGGACTACCTGGTGGGAATTTTCCGAGTTTTCTTCCATACGATACTCAATTGTGGGGTAGTTCCCCCTAAAAGTCCTCCCAGGAAGGCACTGCCCTCCTTCTTCAGCGACAAAAAGCAGAAGTCAAACGTCTACCTACGGATTGTGTTCCATCTCAACAGAAGCTGCCCCCCCCCTGCCCTTACCTCCATGAGGGATACGACGAGAACAACAACAATTATACATTATTTCCATCTGTTAAAAAAAAAAGCATTTTAAAGCATTAATTCCAGCTCTATTATTCCGGACACTTAAATGAAATTGTTTCCGATTCAAAGGGTCTCACTTTGGAAACAGGTGGAAACTCCGGCCTGTTCAGTCACTTTAGAGAAAAACACAACACTTCTTATCTACTCGTGTCAGAACTTCCTTTTTTTTCTTCTACCAAAACCTCCCTTTATGATAATCCGAAAAAGGGGGGTCAGCTTTCTCACTTCTCCTTGGAGTAGACACTTTCTCAGCCCATGGTTTATCATCAATCATGATGCAACAACTCATGGTGTAGTCCGTATCCCATTTGTAATTGTTTCGACGAGTGGAGGTCGCACAGACAATCGCTAACTTCATGAGGTCTCATAATCCGTGACACTGAATATCTGCTGTCAGATTTGAGTGACAGGCTGTTCTCATTAATACAAGACACTAATTGCATATAACTATCCACCACATTGCATATCTGCTGTCAAATTTGAGTGGTAGGTTGTTATTGTGTACTTATTAAAGAATATACATTCCTCTCTCCTGAGAAAGGACT